AGTAGTCCTATATGTTAGGGAGTGTTTTTACTATCTAGAGCTTAATGATGGTGACAATAGGGTTGAGTGTTTATGGGTAAGAATCAGGGGGAAGGCTAACAAGGCAGGTATCATGGTAGAAGTCTGTTATAGACCACCCAACCAGGATGAAGAGGCAGACGAAATATTCTACAAGCAGCTGTGAGAAGTCTCGCAATAGCTAGCCCTTGTTCTCCTGGGGGACTTCAACTTAGCAGACGTCTGCTGGAAACACAATACAACACAGAGGAAACACTCCAGGAGGTTCCTGGAGTGTGTGAAAAGAACTTCCTGACACAGCTGGTGAGCGAGCCAACTTGGGAAGGTACCCCACTGGACCTGTTGTTTGTGAACAGAGAAGGACTTGTGGGTGATGCAATAGTTGGAGGTTGTCTTGGGCACAGCAATCATGAAATGATAGAGTTTTTGATTCTTGGAGAAGTAATGAGGGGGGTCAGCAGAACTGCTGCCTTGGACTTCCAGAGAGCACTTTGGCCTATTTAGGAGACTTGTTGATAGAATACCTTGGGATGCAGTCTTGAAGGGCAAAGAAGTCCAGGAAGGCTGGACATTCTTCATGAAGGAAATCTTAAAGGTGCAGGAGCAGGCTGTCCCCATGTGCTGAAAGATGAGCCAGCAGGAAAGAAGACTGCCTTGCTGAACAGAGAGCTTTGGCTGGAAGTCAGGACCTTTGGAAGAAGCTGCAGGCCACTCAGGAGGACTACAAGGATGCCATGAGGTCATGCAGGAAGAAAATTACAAGGGCCAAAGCCCAACTAGAACATAATCTGGCTACTGATGTAAGAGACAACAAAAAAATGTTTCTATAAATACATTAGCAACAAGAGGAGGGCTAAGGAGATTCTCCATCCTTTATCGGATGTGAGGGGAAATATAGTGACAAAGGATGAGGAAAAGGCTGAGGTACTTAACACCTTCTTTGCCTCAGTCTTTAATGGTAAGACCAGTTGTTCTCTGGGCTGGAAGATAGGGATGGGGAGCAGAATGAAGACCCTGTATTCCAAGGGGAAATCATTAGCCACCTGCTACATCACTTAGAAATATACACACATCTATGGGGACAGACAGGATCCACCCAAGTGTACTGAGGGAGCTGGCAGAAGTGCTCACCAAGCCACTTTCCATCGTTTATCAACTGTCGTGTCTAACTGGGGAAGTCCTAGTTGACTGGAGGTTAGCAAATGTGACACCCATCTACAAGAAGGACTGGAAGGAGGCTCTGGGGAACTACAGGCCTGTTAGCCTGACCTCAGTACTGGGGAAGGTTATGGAGCAGATCATCTCGAGTGCCACCACCTGGCACATGCAGGACAACCATGTGATCAGGCCCAGTCAGCATGGGTTTATGAAAGGCAGGTCCTGCTTGACTAACCTGACCTCCTTCTACGACAAGGTGACCTGCTTAGTGGATGAAGAAAAGGCTGTGAACATTGTCTACCTAGACTTTAGGAAAGCCTTTGAAAGGTTATGGAGCAGATCATCTCGAGTGCCACCACCTGGCACATGCAGGACAACCATGTGATCAGGCCCAGTCAGCATGGGTTTATGAAAGGCAGGTCCTGCTTGACTAACCTGACCTCCTTCTACGACAAGGTGACCTGCTTAGTGGATGAAGAAAAGGCTGTGAACATTGTCTACCTAGACTTTAGGAAAGCCTTTGACACCATTTCCCACAGCATTCTCTTGGAGAAACTGGCTGCTCATGGCTGGGATGGGCACACTCTTTGCTGGGTAAAAAACTGGCTGGATGGCGAAGCCCAAAGAGTTGTGGTGAATGGAGTTAAATCCAGTTGGCAGCCGGTCACAAGTGGTGTTCCCCAGGGCTCAATACTGGGGCCAGTTCTGTTTGGCAGCACTACAGGCTTGGGGGAAAGTGGCTGGAAAGCTGCCCAGCGGCGAAAGACCGGAAGGGGAGGGCAGCGTTCATCAGCAGCTGGCTAACTATGAGTCAGCGCATCCTGGCTTATATCAGAAATAATGTGGCCAGCAGGAGTAGGGAAGTGATTGTCCCCCTGTACTTGGCACTGGCGAGGTGCACCCTGAATACTGTGTGCAGTTTTGGGCCCCTCACTACGAGACAGACACTGAGGGGCTGGAGCATGTCCAAAGAAGGGCAATGAAGCTGGTGAAGTGTCTAGAGCACAAGTCTGATGAGGAGCGGCTGGGGGGAGTGGGGTTGTTTAGCCTGGACAAAAGGAGGCTGAGGGGACACCTTGTCGCTCTCTACAACTACCTGAAAGAAGGTTGTAGCGAGGTGGGTGTTGGTCTCTTCTCCTAAGTAGCAAATAATAGGACAAGAGGGAATGGCCTCAAGTTGTGCCATTGGAGGTTTAGATTAGACTTTAGGAAAAATTTCTTCACCAAAAAGTTTGTCAAGCATTGGAACAGGCTGCCCAGGGAAGTGGTGGAGTCACCATCCCTGAAGGTATTTAAAAGATGTGGTGCTTAGTGACATGGTTTAGTGGTGGACTTGGCAGTGCTAGGTTACTGGTTGGACTCAATGGCATTAAAGGTTTTTTCCAACCTAAATGATTGTATGATTCTATGATTATTCTACATCTGTGCAGACACCTACTGTGCGCAGAGTCCATCCATGCCCTAAACTCTGAATGCTGCATTGGGGTGGACTAGTCAAGGGCATTGGCTTCTCTCAGAGACATGGCTGAAACTCGCTCAGAGTTTCACCACTTATCCTTCAACGGTGGCTGCCCAAAGCAGGGACAGGGACTAATTCCTCTACCTTCATTTGCTGTGTTGTACAACTAAGGTAAAAGACAGGGTTTGTACTTGTGTATGTGTGTTTGTGTTTGCAGGGAGATGGGAACAGGAACTTCCCTTCAGTGATTCTGTGGGCAGACCCAGTATCATCTCCCAAGATACCTCTTTTGTCAGGACATCTCAAAAAAACCCTTTTGCATTCAAAATTTGGGCATGAAGACTGTTTCTAGCAAGTTACATTTTCTTGCAATCCGGTCTTCTAGTGTGAGTTTTGCTCTGACCCGTACCACTTCCCAGGAGCCAGAACTGCAGTTGCCTCTAAAATCTCCTGTAAAACATTAGTCACTCTCTGTGTATCTTATCTGCCTCTTTTTCTTTGTCAAAATACTGCTGCTGTGGTTTCCAGAACTGACTGGGGGGAAATCAAAACAAGAAGTCCATTGCAATGTTTTTGTTTGCTGACATGTTGGACAGGACAACAAAGTTTTCTCCATTGTGAAAAGATCTCAGCAACTTTAGAAAATAGGAGGCTTTGTAACAGCCAAGCTTTTGGTGCAATGGCTAAAACAGAAATCTGACAAATACATTGCTTCAGGTGGAAATTAAACAAATCTATGCTCAGATTTTTGGTGAATAAAAAAAAAAGATCACCCAGAACTGACTTTTCAGGATGTATTTTTAGTCCCAAACTGGAAACTCCCAGCTCTTCAAGGAGTATAGATATCATTGATGAAAGGGGAGGAATATACAGGCAGAGGTTTGGGGAATTTGAGGGAAGCAGAGCACTCGCTGAAGAATTCTGTGTATCTGATTTGTAGTGATGCCTCTGCTAGGGGTCTTCCACCCTCTTCTCACATTTAAAATCCCTCCTGGGGAGACTCTGGCTTTTGTCCTTCATGTGATATTTAATTGCTTTCTCTCCCCTACATTGCCGTGCTTAATCCTGCCATATGTCTCAGCAGGATCTCCAAAATCCATCTCCTTTCTGCTACCTCCTGGGCAAACAGTTATTGGCATTCACTAATACCCAGCCCTCTCTGTTGCTTCTCTTGGATGTGATTCTTCAAAAGTGTTCAGAGCCTTTCTTACATGCTCTACAGATGAACACTAGGTTGTTCCTGCTCCTGGCCAGCCCAGCACACTCACAGTAATATTCTCATCTGCAGGTGCAAAACACACTGAAAAGTTAAAACCTTCATGCAAGGAGGTTGGGTTGGTGGAGGGCTGGGACTTGTCACGCAGAAGACAGACTCATGCAAAGAGCAGAATTAACATTTATTGATCTGTGGTTTATCTAACTTATCAACACAGAACACTCTGAAGGAAGGAGGAAATGTTAAAGGTACGCCACAAATAATTGTTCCCTTCAGGGGCTGGCCAAGCATACTCCACTGAACACTGTTCTTTCAAATTCTGGTCCACTGATTTGTAGGACCAGTATCCTTTCAGGGAACAGAGAAGGCCTTTTCTGCATCGAGATACCGACTGGGCAAGGAGTCAAGGAAAGTACTGGTGGATCACAGGGCACCCATCTGTGAAGAAGGAGAGTGAAAAGGGGCACAGTGGTCCTTGACATCAGGCTGAGCAATTTCATCCAGGATGGATCTCCAGCTTGGAAAGAGATGGAGGGGCACAGGCTGGGAACTGAGGTCCTTCAGAGCTGGGAATCTGTGGTAGGCTTGCTCGTCCTACATCGCAAGATAAAGCATTTGTGTGAGCTCAGGCAAGCTGCTCATTAGCTCTTTCATGAGCTGCCCCTTCTCAAGGATACTCCTTCAGGTCCTTCATCCAAACTGGAGTTCACTTCCTTTGACAAATTTGACTGTCAATTCACAAATTCGATAGCAACTTGTGAAGCAAAGGATGTTATTCCAGTTACAGTAAGTGCTGGAGTCTGTGTTTCCCTTGACATGAATTGCAGCACATTTTTCTGCAAAGAGTAAATTGGGTTCTCCATGCTTCCAGAACCTGTAAAAGAAAGTTCCTTTGTTGGGAATGCATTGGCATGCATGACAGCAGGAGAGAAGTCACCTCAAACAGTTGTGGAAGAGAAAGGGGAAGGTTACTGTGATAGAGATCAGGAGTCACAGTTTTGACTAGAAAACTAGTGAAGGGTTCTGACTTACATTCAAGTTGGAAACGGAAATCCCCCTCTGACACATATTTGTCTTACACAGTGAGTTGGTCACTTGGACTGAGGAGTGTGAACTAAAGGACCTCTCTTACTCCCCCAGGATACTCACGTGGCTGTCTTCGTATACGGAGTCTGATCCACCCACTGCCATTGCCCATTTTTGTAAGCAGTTAAGCCTATGTAGTATTTTGTTTCATAGGCATTAGTAAATACTCCTTTCGCCAAGTTGAAGAGGAACTCCTAGAAAAAGCACAATGTCCATGAGGTGCAGGACTGAGCAGAGGGAGGCAGCAGGAGTCCCCATGGGATGGGGCTGGTGGCAGAGGGTAGCCTATGCTGAAGGGATGCAGTAAGGACATCCCTGGTCTCCTGCAGGACAAGGGGTGGCTCTGAGTCCCCTCCAAGGCCTGGCACTGTGTCTCTGGCTGCTGTGCCCCTATCAGCCATGCTCATACCTGCTCCTCTTTGCTGTTGATCACCACCAGGTGGGAGCCCATCCCAGTGCAGTTCTGCTCACTCTCAAACCAGGACATCCTATCAGTGGACAGATAATAGCACTTTTCTTGAAAGCACCTCCAGCCCTCTGGGCAGCACATCCAGCCTTCCTCTGTGGGGAAAAAAAAAAATCCTGCTTTTGAACAAGATGTGCTGTCCTTCATCTCCAGGAGCTCAATGTAGGATCCCAGGTGTTAGGGGAGGGTTTTGAACCACACCTTTAATCTGGATAGAGGTAAAACTCTCTTTCATGTTCCACAAGAAAAAGCTGTCAACAGCCTGACAAGCTCCTGCCACAAGGCCCCTGCCTGAAGTGCCTTCCCCTTTCTCTATCTGTTCTGCCATGTCCACGCAACCTCTGTTCGGTGAGAGACACAGTTTCTGCCTTACCCTTCCTGAGGAAGAAAGATGGGAAGTAGTTGGCTTGCACTTCTCTAGGAACACTTCCATCAGAGAAATGTTTTCCAAGTGTTTAGCTCTCAACTCACGCAGTCTGACAGACACATACAATAAACTGCTCTGACAGCCTTGCTGCCACCACAGGCAGTTCCTTATATCAGCCAGGTTTTCCTAGAGATCTGCCTTATAGCCAGAAAATCACATGATGGATTAAAAAACACCGATGTAGTCTCTCAAAGCATGAGGCTACATGGGAACAGATCTCTGAACTGAGTTTGGGAGTTTGCACTGCAGGAATTCTAGCGGTTGTCATTGTCATCACTTCATGTGTGATTGCAGGCCAGCTCTCCAGCTACTATAAACTGCATAATAACAACCTCCTACCACTCCTACCTCTGTCCCTCACACTGATCATGATGTTTGTGTGAACAGGCAATGAGCCAGCACAGGGAGTGGAGCTGGATTGAATCAGCCTTTACAAAAGGATGAAGCGCTTTCAGAGAGATTAGTGAACTGCACTAGCAGTTGACGGGTTGTATGAGGGCCAGTGAGAGGAGAAGAGTAGGAAGGGTGGTCAAAGGCAGGTCTAGAGCAAGCCACCTTCTATCACTGGCCCAGAAAATGCTTTCATAGCATCCTAAGTAATATTATGCAATAGAGCATCTTCTTTCCTCAATTCTCCAGCTTCCCTCCTTAAAACAATCCAGCTGTGGCTGACAATCACATTCCCAACCTCAAAGGCTGACTGACATCTGAGTAAATTTTGGTGAGGTTCTTAGTGTTGCTTATGAGACTCTTAGCATCACTCACTTTTTCCTGCAGATACGTTGGGGATGCAGCGCCACTCTGTACTGTTCTGGAGCAGAGTCTTGTGCTGGCCATAGCTTCCATGAAGGAAAACAACTGGGAAGAGAGGAAAGAGAAGGAAAGTGCTACTGCCACCCTTTCCTCCTCATTCACGAGCAATCTGTCTATCCTCCATCTTCTAGCTTAAAGCCCCCACACAGACCACAGTCTTTAACAATCTGTATTGTTAAATCTGTATTGAACAAGATTAGAAACAGCAGGCCGTTTCTCCCACTACTGGCCACTCCTTCTTTTGAACAGGCATTAATCACATGAGCTCCTCTCACCTCTGCTGCTTGAGAGACTCATTTTCCCAGCTGACAAAATCAGCTTAGACATCCTGTGAGGATGGGATCAGGAAAGGGTCAAAGAAGTCATGGGATAAGCTTAATAAAGGTGGAACATTAATATACATTCCCTCTTAATCTTCCTGAGCATAGCAGCTTTGGAGAACCACTTTTACGCCTATCAAGAAGGGGTAGAACTGTTGAGTGTTAACACCCAAGGGAGTTAAGAAGAAGCACAAAAGAGTCATCACAGAGCAACATGATACTCCAGGACAATGCAAGCAAAGGGTTTCCATTTTGGTCTGCCCAGGCAGTGTGGGTAGGAAACATTTTGATGGATTCACCCCCACCGTGCTAAAATACGGGTCACCTGGTACCAGTATTTCCAAGGACACCACACTGGCTCCTTGGCTGCAACATTGTCAGAGAGACCAAGGCAGGAGAACAACAGCCAGCCTTCAGGGAACCTACTCAGATGCCTTCTGACACTAAAGAGACTTCTTAGCTCTTGGTGGGAGGGGGGAAACTGACTGTTTTCATTCAGGGCTGGCTTTATTCAGGCAGGTGGGAACGTGAGAAAGACAGTGGGAAGGCCCTGCCAGGGAACGAACCTTAACTGTGGAAGGGACCCTACTCCCTGACTAAGAGGACAGAGGCTGGAGAGGGGCAGCAGAAGAGGCTGTTTGGGCCAAGGACATTTGCCTACTGGAAGAGAGACTAGGATATTTTTTCACCATCTGACAAAAGGCATTCAACTGCTTTCTTCATCCCAAGGGAATTAAGAGACCCGAGAACTTACCGAGGCAGATGGTTACAAAGGTAGTTTTGATGACAAGGACAGAAACAAGGAAGACCCAGGGGTTCAGCCACGAGCAGCTTCTCTCCTCTTCTGGGGCTGAAAAACACAAGGCAAGAGTGGGAATCCTCCAGCCCAGAGTCGGAGGCAGGATAACCCAGGTGGCTCTGTACCCCAACAACCTGCTGGTACCCTTGTTCCACGGACTGGGGAGCCCCACAGGAGCTGTAACCAGGTCCTGCTGTAACCAGGTCCTGCTGCCCGTTATTAGCAGTGGGTACCCACAGAGTAGGCCAACATATGGGTTGCACTGAAGCTGATCTTTTATTTCACTTTTTACCACAAGCCCTGCTGTACTCTTCCCAAAATGCACTCCTCCTTTCTTTGTCCTGTTACACCTCCTTTCTCCTCAACACATCTTCCTTGTTGCCCTCATTACCCGTCTTTCACTGACCTCCTCTTGGTGTACCTCCCTCCTCTTTATCTCTCTCTTTAGAGCTTCTTTCTCTCACAGAATCACAGAATGTTAGGGGTTGGAAGGGACCTTGAAAGATGATCTAATTCAACCCCCCTGCCAGAGCAGGACCACCTAGAGTAGATCACACAGGAACACATCCAGGCGGGTTTTGAATGTCTCCAGAGAAGGAGACTCCACAACCTCTCTGGGCAGCCTGTTCCAGTGCTCTGTCACCCTCACAGTGAAAAAAGTTTTTCCTTATGTTATAGTGGAACCTCCTATGCTCCAGCTTGCACTCACTGAGCCT